AAGGCCTCTGTTGATGGACGGGGATGCCCCTGATGCCTCGGGGTATCCCCATGATGGGTCCGTCCAAGTCGGACACTCACTGGTAAGGTAGCGGAAGTATCACCCAGTGCCGTTTCCTCGCTGGGCGGGGTGCCGCCAGATGGTGGATCATTCGCCCAGGGAAGACATGGCCCATCGGTGAGGTGAGGGGCATCGTCAGGTTTTTAGTGGGTAGGGTCTCCTTCCTTCCAAAAGAGGAGTGGAGGAGTCCCACATAACCTCGCCGCACTCCCAAGGCGGTGGGGTATGCGTAACGCATTTTCCTGACGTAAAAAAAAGAGTCGCTTTCTTGTCGGAGACACAACATGCGCGGATACGCTTGCTTCGTGCCATACAGAGAGCACCTCGGCCGAGCGGCCTCTACCGAGTGCTCCAAGCAGCGCAAATATTCAGCTCTCAATGAGAACTTTATATTTCTGCCGTTTGGTGTTGAGACTATGGGTCCACGGGGTCCAAGCGGTCGTTCCTTATTCAAGGAATTATCAAAGAGACTCACCGAAGTGACTGGATATTATTCGTAAGCAGGTTAAGGTAATTTGTATTTAAATTTTATACATTAGGTAGTTTTTAAGTTGTTGATATTTAATTTTATTATTATTTACGTATCAAAACGTTTATTTGTCTGTATTATTTTTACTCGATAGGTTTGCCGCTACCTAAGTACTTTTATATTTAAATATTAAAACAATAGATACATTTGAATAACAAAAACTTAAAAACCACTCGATGTCTTAAATTTGCAATCCAAATTACCTTTACCTACTAAACTTCTTTAATAATATTAATATACATAATAAAAAATATGTTACCTTAGCGCCGCCGTCAAGAATGGTGCCCAATAGGCTGATAGTATTGCCACGTTGGATGGCAAGGCTGATCTGTCGACCAAACAGCTGTCAGATTTTCATCACCAGACACATCAAGTTTAATTATGATATTAGGAACTATAATGTGTTGTAAATGTTCAGGTGAGAATTCTGATTTTGGAATCAATAGCTCGCACTTTGAATAATTTAAGTCAAGGCCAATACTTTTCAATTTATCAATAATTTCGTGAAAATCTAAAAGAACGCTTGAAATATCGCCAGCGATAGTTCCGTCATCAAGGTAGCACACATTAAATTTTGAATTTAGTGAATCAATAACAGTAATAGCTATGGAAAGGGCTATGCTCATAGTATCCCTGAAGGATCGCATCTGAAATGATGTAATCCGACAGAGAACCAAAGTTACCGACATATATAGCCCACCGAATTAGCAAGCTGAAGTGGCAGTGGGCTTGTCACATTAGCCGCGGAACTGACGGCCGTTGGAGCCGGAAAGTTCTCGGGTGGAGACCACGACTCGGTAAACGTAGTGCAGGACGCCCTGAGACAAGATGGGATGATGATATTCGTAGGCTGGCTGGAGTGGGCTGGGTGAGAGTGGAGCAGGGGTGTGCATTAGGGGAGACCTATGTCTAGCAGTGGACGAGCATGGGTTGATAAAGATGATGATGATGATGAATCAATAATAGGTTGATAGCAATTAGAAATAGCGGGCCCGAGAGGATCGCCATTCTGACAGACAACAGATGAATATAACAGGTTTATTTTTTTAAAGTTGGTGCGCTACACAGAACACTAAAAGTCTATTTCCTATAAAAGTAGTAATAAATTATTTTCAGTTATTGCACTTTCTTTCCCGCTAAGTTTTGAATCTCCGACACCACCTAGGTTGGCTGTAAGAGATCTCTTTTAAAGTTAAGTCCACCTTTGCTTACTATGTCTATTTATAGTATATTTGACTATATGTTTTAAACTATATGATGCAATAAAGAGTATTAAAAAAAAACACTGTGATCTGTGAAGCGCTATCATTTATTATGGACGACGTGAGACAAATGTTGGCGAGCAACAGCGAGACAAGCGACGCCAAATGAGGTCAGTACACGTTGGCGTTTCCTTTTTTTTAAACACACCAATTAGCCTAGCCCCAATGTAAGCACTGTAAGGCTTGCGTTATGGGATACTGGGACAATGGATAGGATACATATCATTATCATCAGCCTATTAATGTCCCCACTGCTGGGGCACAGGCCTTCCCTATGGATGGAATAGGAAGATTGGGCCCTGACCCACCACGCGGGCCCAGTGCGGATTGGCGGGTGCTAACGACTGCAGATGCAGCCGGGACCAACGGCTTAACGTGCCTTCCGAAGCACGGAGGAACTCGAGATAGAAGATTTTTGGCCACCCATCCAATGACCGACCACTGCGAAAGTTGCTTAACTTCAACGATCGCAGCCGAACGCGCTAACCACTTGCGCCATCGAGCTCCTCAATACATATACAGTACATATATAAGTATATTTATATAGAAATACATACTAAACATCCATGACTAGAGTACAAATGCTCGAATTCATCACACAAACATCTACTCCCACCGGGATTCGAAACCGGGACCTCTCGAGTCGGCGGCACCAGGAAACCCGGCGTACAAACCACTCGATCACGAAGGTGGTAATTACTCCGTAAATTAGGTAAGCGACACTGAGCGATGACAAAGCCAAGACGAATTATGCTCTCTATGCGTTGGTATTGGCCTTCGCTTGGGTCTAGACGTGCGGACAGCAGGAGCGAATTTATTTAAGGCCGCACTCACTTTGAACGCATTTTCGTACGAACTTTTGCGTACCTACCTACACTAAGAACTTGCACGAATAAACAAATATTTCCAACACTTAGTGTAGCCGGCATATTTCTTGTAGTTTTCATACATTTTATATGGACTCGCCGCACAAGGTACGCCGGTGGCCGCCACACGCTACAAATCGTCGTTGCTCGCTTCTTGTGGCCCGCACCGGCCACTTAATGTGCCGGTACAAAACGCCGCCACACGTCAATCTCTCCCTTACCTTAGTCGGCCGCTGTCGCGCGCTTCAGCCACTTTAGTAGCCGCTTCTAGCTTCTCGTGGCGGCGTTTGTGGCTGTGGCGTGTGGCCTGTGTGCGACGACACTTACACCAATTAAGCGTATCCTCAAAGTAAGCACTGTAAGCTTGTGATATCGGATACAAGGGCAACGGATAGAATACATATACTAAATATATATTATGAAACATCCATGACTGGAGTACAAATGCTTGTATTCATCACACAAAACATTTGCGTCGGGATTCGAAATTGCAACTTTCGCAGTGGTCGCTCATTGGATGGGAGATTAAAAATTTATTATCTCGAGCTCTTCCGTGCTTCGGGAGGCACGTTCCATTGATCCCGGCTGCATCTCCAGTCGTTAGCACCCACCAATCCTCACTGCGCCCGCGAGGTGGGTCATGGCCCAATCTAACTCCCTATTCTATCCATAGGAGAGACCTGTGCCCCAGTAGTGGGGTCATTAATAGGCTGATGATTTTGGCCTGCTTTGAATGAGTAATATAAATAAATAAATATTTCCAACACTCACACCAATTAGCCTAGCTCCAAAGTAAGCACTGTAAGGCTTGTGTTACGAGATGCTAGGGTAACGGTTAGAATACACATATTGTACATAGATATATATATAATAAAACATCCATGACTGGAGTACAAATGCTCGTATTCATCATAGAAACATCTGCCCCCACCGGATTCGAACCCTCTCGAGTCGGCGAAACCCGGCGTATAAACCACTCGGCCAATATAAAATTCATTGTCTCCAGCGGTTCAGAAGGATGCTTCAGCTGCATCTGCAGTTTTTAGCACCCTCCAACCCACACCAGTCCCCTTAGCATAAGCACCACAATTTACAATATATCATGATTTTTATCGCGTCGTACTGTCAAACTCCATAGTAATTTGACAATTGAGCATGATAAAAACGCGGTATATATCTCGCGGTGCTCATGTTTGGGGGGCAGGGAGCCAATCGCCTAACGTAGTTGCTTTGGCTATCGCTATAGCTTATGATTAATGGGCTAATGGTGATTGTGAAATAAAGTGATAGAAAGCCTCTCCGAGTTTGTTTCGCCGGTTCTTCTCAGAAAGGTCTCCCAATTTTGGAACCGGTGGTAGTTTACGGTAGTTAGGGTCAAATAAATAAACTCAAAATTACAAAAAAGAATTTTAAATAAAGAACTTTATTAACTTAATTTACTAATAAATTAATACATAGACAATAATAGTTTTAAAAATCTTCAAATGAAATATCCGAACGCTCAATAAAAGTCTTTCGAAGGTAGCTGTAGTGAAAAGGCTGCGAAACGTCAATAATCATAATCAAAATCATTTATTCAGTTTAGGCTGTTACAAGCACATATGATTGTCTAGAAGCTACGCCATCGGTTCGTAAATCTACGTCGGGAGACCTTGTACTGAGAAGAACGGGCAAGAAACTCAGCAAGGGCTGTTTTTGACGTGACAACGTCTTAAATTAGGTTGCGGCTGGGAGTCACTTATGAAAAAGTGTAACGCTCGGTAACGTTACGATGAGTCTCTCGTGTTAAGTTTAAGTTTACATGTACAATGTTTTAGTAAACAAAATATATTTCTATAGTTAAAATTTGTGCAATTCTTATTTTCATTCAATTCCTTGTTCCTATTGTGCAATTTAATTATATTCATATCAATAAATATTCTACCGAGAAAAAGACGTTGTCACGTAAAATCTTCGCCCGTAAAACCGACTTTACAGGCAACCATTTTTTTTTTCTCCCTGTTTTATCATTTACAGAGTCGTCAGCACCCGTTCACGAGCATGACGCATGAACCAGCCATGGCTTCCCTCAACCATATTTTAGGAAATGTAACGACCCGCCTCACACGACATAAATAAATAAAGTTCGTGCATTAACCCGTTAAAAAAACTAGTTTTATTTAACGAGGGGTAAATATGTTGCATAAAGGCGGTTCAGTATGAAACGCACTTTAAAAATTAATACATTAACACAAACATAATTTAACAACGCCGGCCGTTTTCGGCGAGCATTCAGTCGTGTAACGGTACAGTGCAACACCTATTGCGCGCAGCGATTATTAATTATTATAAACGTGTCGATATTTCATTACTTGGCAATTCATAATTAGGTAAGTTTGTTTTGTTATTTGAGTAACTACACCTTCTAATTCTTCTTTCATTTAACTATTCATGTTTAGTGGTGTAATCTTGAACGCCTTTTTCAATTAAATAAATAAATAAATACAGTAGAGTCTCTAACCCATAATAAATGTATGAAACCGATGCGCTACGTCACGCCACGACACGTTAATATGTTTCTGGCTGAAGACAGCAGTCAGTAATCCGAAAAATTCGATAATAAGACATCGCCCTGCAAAACATTTGTTGGATTAGTGCGGGTCTACTGTATTTCCAACGCACACACCAATTAGCCTAGCCCCAAAGTAAGCACTGTAGGCTTGTGTTATGGGAAACTAGGGTAACGGATAGAATACATATACTGTACATGTATAAGTATATTTATTTAGAAATACATATTAAACATCCATGACTGGAGTACAAATGCTCGTATTCTTCACACAAACATCTGCCCTCACCAGGATTCGAACCCGGGACCTCTCGAGTCGGTGACACTATAATAAGTCAGTCCCAAAAATGATTCTGATCAATTTATAACGACCTCCGTGGCTGAGTGGTATGTGCACGTCGGGTTCATGGTGTCACCAACTCGAGAGGCCCGGGTTCGAATTCCGGTGGGGGTAGATGTTGGTGTGATGAATACGAACATTTATACTCTGTTGAATATGTATTTTCTATATAAATGTACTTATATATTTATCATTACATATATGTATTCTATCCGTTACCCTAGTTCCCCATAACACAAGTCTACGGTGCATACTTTGGGGCTATGTTAATTAGTAATTGGTGTGTGTTGGAAATATTTATATTTATTAATTTATTCTATAATACGTTATTTATACCGAACTCATTGGTACCGAATAAATAAAATAAAAATACCTACAATTTAAATCAAAATAATTTATTCAGTCTAGATTGTTACAAACTCTTATGAAAATCAAACGCTATGCCATCGGTTCGTTAATCTACGGCAGCGGGAGAACCTGTACTGAGAAGAACCGGCAAGAATGCTAGGGCTACTTTCGGCTCGTTTTATTTCATAAAGTATCATCCATTAAAAGATGACGCCAAAACCTAAAAACATGTATTGATAAATCTAAAGAAAATTTTACTAGAAAAAAATTCAAATGATGATGCCTAACCTCATCAAACGAGATTCGATCCAGCATTTTTAGTTTTTCACGTATTTAGGTTTAGTTGTTACTGCCATTGAGTTTTTGGCACAGGAACAGTCAAGTACCTGTTACAACGTAAAAAATAAGCAAAGTGTTTATCCATAAACTTTAACAATGTCAGATTTTTTTCTGCAAAGAAGTTAAATCATTAATGTAGGTTAAAAAAGGGAATGGACCTAAAATAGAGCCCTGAGGAACGCCTATTTTTTTAATTTTTTTACATTACATACATTGTACATAAGACGCCGCTGATTTTGTCTCGTTATTATCAACTTCTTATTGGTGTCCTTGTGGTTAAATAACAGCATTTGATGAATTTCAATGACAATAATAATTACTCGTAATATAATAATCTAATTTATGGTGAAACCAGCAAGATTTATTTAGTATATTTTCCGAACTTATTTTTATACCTTTGGGTGATACTCAAATCTTTATACGGACAGACAAACTTTGTTTTGACACGAATAAAACTATCCATTTTCATGTTTAAATAGACTGCTGCCTATGTAATTACTTAGAATAATATATTTTAGTAGATGTTTCATATAAATAATAATTACCACTATTTTTGGGTTCCTTACCCAAAGTGTAATGACGAAATCCTATTGTTGGCACTCTGTCGTCTGTCTGTCTGACCCGTATGTCACGGGTCTCTAGCTTGTAAACGGAATGACTTGCAGGACTGAAAATTTGATATTTTTTTGTAGAATGCTTGCCAAAAGTCGTTTAAAGTTTTGATAAATATTCAATTATCTAAATTATTCTTAATTTTTAGTAATGACCAAAGCGCGCGTTGGAGTACACTTTGCGGCGCTTGTGCGCCAAAACTATTGACTTTATGAAAAAAAAAAAAAATACTTACATAAATTGTAGGCAATTGTCTCTAGTTTCATTTTGTACTAACTGTTTTTATCGTAAAATGAGTTGGAAAGGAGATATTGTCAAAAAACTGCTTTTAGACGCCATTTTTTCAATATGGTGGCGCGAACGGCAACAATACGAGATGGCAAAGTCGAAATTCGGAAAGAGCACCTCAAAATCTATAAAATTACCAATTTTCAAAACTATCGAAAAACTTTCCAGGTAAAACTATCAAATGACTTTACTAAACGTAGTTTGTAAGTTATAACGAAAACAAAGGTTTTTTTTCCTTTCGCGGTTTGTTGTACAATTTTTTATGCATGTGCATAAACTTATCACGTAATTTCCCAGCAGATCAAATTTAAATGTGAGTTCTTTTCGCCTGCAGCGAAGTTCTATAGTTCCTGATACTTTTTAGAAAGTTCTGGTGCTTTTCGCGAAAAATGACGATTAAATAAAAATGGTCTGCTAACTTCCGGTAGCATATCATTTTGCAGCAGATCGAAAACAAATGTGAGTTCTTTTCGCATGCAGCAGAGTTCTTGATACTTTCTAAGATAGTTCATACGTTTTTCGCAAATAATGTTAATTAACATAATGGATGCTAACTTCCCTTAGCATATCATTTTGCAGCAAATCGAAAACAAAATGTGAGTTCTTTTCGCATGCAGCAGAGTTCTTGATACTTTCTAGAAATAGTTCATATGTTTTTTGCGGAAAATGTTAATTAACATAATGGATGCTAACTTCCCGTAGCATATTATTTTGCAGCACATCGAAAACAAATGTGAGTTCTATTCGCATGCAGCTGTGTTCTACAGTTCGGAGCTATTAGTTCCTAATACTTTTTAAAATAGTTCTGGTGTTTTTACGGGAAAATGACAATTAACAAAACGGTCTACTAACTTCCCGTAGCATTAAATAAAACTAAAACTAGTAACACGGGTGCAATATTTTTGCTACACGCTTGGCCAGTTCATACGTAGGTAAGTCTATCTGACTCAGGATCGGACGTAGCGGCACATTCAGCTTATGTATTTTAGGCAGACCATATAGTTTTGGAGGTTGGACGTTTCTAGGACGTCGTCTAGAGCGTAGGCACATTCTTTTATGTCCAGAGTCCATACCAAAATGCGATTCACATATGAGATGGAAGAAGACCGAAGTCTGGCCTTTCTTGATGTAAAGATTTGAGTGCGGAATGAGGGTTCGCTGAGTCACTCCATTCACCGCAAAGCTTCACACACAGACCGCTATCTCAACGCCTCCTCGCATCACCACCCTAAACATCTAAATTCTGTAGTCACTTCACTGACGAACCGTGCATATGACTTATGTGGCAAGGAACACCTACACGAAGAGTTGGAGCATGTACGGCGGGTCTTACAGAATAACGGATACAAAGGAAAGTTTCCACCCAAACACAAATTAAGACACCAGAAACACAAAGTAGACAGGCAACCACTATTTTTGCCATATGTCAAAGGAGTGACAGACAAGATCTCTAACATACTTAATAAGTACTCACTGAATACTGTCTTCACTCCTTTACAAAAAGTATCACAGATTCTACGGTCTCCTAAAGATAACTTCCCCTTGGAGAAACCTGGTGTATACAAGATCGACTGCAGCTGTGGTAGTTCTTATATTGGCCAAACGAAGCGGACAATAGCGTGCCGAATGAAAGAACACATTAAAGCAGTCAGAAATAATGATACGCAAAAATCAGTCATCGCGGAACATTTAATTGATTCGGGTCCTAATCACTGGATTGAGCTCCATAATCCACAAATTATCTCGACAGAACGCCACTACATACCAAGATTGGTCAGGGAAGCGATTGAAATAACCAAACACAAGAATTTCAATCGTGAGGATGGGTTTAAATTGTCTAGTGTGTGGAATCCAGTGGTTCGTATGTGTAAAAACCGCAAAGATCAAAAAAGTGTCGTTCCGCGATCTGATACTGTGAGTATTGTGTGCCGGGAACAAATGCGAGTGAATAGTGAGAATGTGACCAATGGTAGTGGTAGTATCGAACGCAGTAAAAGACGACGTCAGAGGGTAGACCGATATGTCTGCCAATAACATCTACCCGCAATTACTTCAGCTACTCCGTGATCATGGCCATCATGGCGCTTGCAACAGTGCCGAAATATCGGAGACTCATAAAAAACAAGGTACATGGTAACAATCCCGTTAATATCTATAATGTTAGTGACCATGAAAGTTTAAAACAATATATCTAATAGTATCTGTTGGTCTTGCAGTGTGTGCTCGGGGTTGGGATTTTATCTCTTGTATAATGGGTTCCCAAGCTGGTGGTACATACCAACCATCTTCTAATAAAACTAGTTTCATTTAATGAGTAAAGTGCGTGAAAACCTAAGATACAAATTCCCGTAACATATCATTTTGCAGCAGATCGAAAACAAATGTGAGTTCTTTTATGCAGCAGAGTTTTTGATACTTTCTAAGATAGTTCATACGTTTTCCGCGAAAAATGTTAATTTACATAATGGATGCTAACTTCCCGTAACATATCATTTTGCAGCAGATCGAAAACAAATGTGAGTTCTTTTCGCATGCAGCAGAGTTCTTGATATTATAGTAATATAAGTTATTTACGGGATTGTTACCATGTATTTCGCAATAGTTTTACACTCTCGTTTCGCAGAATACTCGCGGAACCATGAATGTGTGGTCGTGGTTTTATCCTAACGCATATAGGGATAATGTCCGAATCACGACACTCCACCAGGAAAGACAGTGATTCCTTCAAACACTCACACTTTTTCCGCGCGCGTTCTAGGTGTTTTATTAATTGAGACGTATCCGGTCCGTACCGGTTAACAATATATTGTTCTAAACTTTCATGGTCACTAACATTATAGTAATATAAGTTATTTACGGGATTGTTACCATGTTACATGGTAACAATCCCGTAA